GATTGAAAACCCCATACCGACAGTTAAGGAAAGTACATGTGCGTGAGCCCGGCGTATACAAAGAGAGGAGGCCTCCTGGCCTCCGAGGGAGATGCGTGCTAGGCCGCCGCTTCCAGCTCAAGCCTCCTGGCCAAACTGAACATCATCAGCCTCCCTGAGTCCATTAGCCATTCCAGGACCCTCCCCGCGAGCCGTGCCGATGTAGGATCAATACCGTGTAGAACAGAGTAAAAGTCCCGTCGCGTTCGAATATCAGTTCTCTCCCATCTTCGAGTTCAGCGGTGGAGCCAAACACCACACCACCAGGTGTTCGGCAGTCTCCCGTCCCTCGCCGCACTGGCAGGCGGGCGTTAGGACCTCTGGGACTCCCCGTGTAAACAGAAAGTCCCGTAGGCCTACTGCCCCTGTCCGGATCTGGACCAGCAGAGAGCTCTTCGCCTTGCTCAGGCCGTCGTGTCGTCTTAGGGTTTCGTCCCGAAACAGCGTCTCCCGCTGATGGTCAAGGTCGTCCGCCGGTCTGATGACTGCTCTGCCGTCTCGTTCCTTCAGCCACCTCGCTCTCCAGGCGTCCTCTACCACACTGTCCGTGTCTGCGGCTCCCCCCGTCCAGCGCGCGATCGTGCTCGCGGCTTTCTCCACTGCCGTGGGCTCTTGCAGTCCCACGGTTCGCGGCCGGCCCCTGTTGCCGCTCCTCGGGACGGAGCCTCTGCTGTATCTTGCGACAGGCAGTGAGAATGATGCCCCCTGCGGTCCTCTTGCCGCCCTGGCCGTCGTCCAGGTCGGTTCGCTGGAGTCTGATTTCAAAGTCTGCAAGCCGTTTGTTGAAATACAGGTCTAACGGTGGCACCCACGTCTCCGTCTCGAGGTTGCGAATGGGAGTGGCTTTGAAGGCTCCCGCCACAATCCGCAAGCTCTTGTTCTGGACCTTCCCGAGGGCCCCGGTGATGCCTTTCTTTACCGGCTCGCCTTCCACGTCCGCGGGGATGTGAAACGACGATGCGCCGTAGGCCAGCGCTGACCGGATGCACTTTGTGTACACTTCTCGCGCTTTGGCTAGCCCTGGTCCCCACGTTTTCGCCGCTATCCTCGACAGTGCGTAGCTCTGGGTCTTCATTTTCTTTTCCACCGCCGCAAGGTGGGCTTTCCAGTTGAGCTTCCGGTCCAGCCAGACTCCCAGGAACCTGGCAGACTCCGTCGGCCTGACGGGGCTGGTGCCCCCCCCTGGGTTAGTGAGGTTTAGCTCGTTTGTCCACTGCCGTCGTCCCTTGTTGAAATGGATGAGCTCGCTCTTTTCCGGGGCAAACTTCATCCCCCGACTGTCGGCCCATCGTAGACACGTTTCCCACGCCGCCTCTAGTTGCCGGACGTTAGCCTCGGGGTTACGACCAAATACCATGAGGTTGGTGTCGTCCGCAAACCCCGCTATAGCCAAGTGAGGGTGTTCGTCTTTTAGCTGCTTGTATAGTGAGGAAATGTAGAGGATGAAGAGGACAGGGGAAAGGGGTGAGCCTTGGGGGACCCCTGCCCGAACTGCCGTCGGTGCCGCTGCCTTGCCGTCAAAAAGGAGGGTGGCCTCGCGGCCCGTCAACCAGTCTTTCGTCCAGAGGACTGAATGATAATAATATTTTTCCAACTTTGACGTTTAAAACACCCGACCACACCGCCCACTGCACACTTTTCGAATGCACGCTTGGTTACAGTCCAGTCTTGTGACGACTCAACTTACCAGCCTTACTTACCTATCTCACCTAGTTTAGTACCGTCCCCATATCCAAGACAATGTCTCTCTCCGGCCCTTCGGAAAGCCCACCGAAGCCCCTTCCACAAATTCCGGGCCCCAAGCTGGCGCCCTTTACTTGTACCGCCCACGCGGTTATTCAGCTTGTAAACGAACTTGGTAACCCGGGCCAGGATGGCCGCGTGTGGGAGGTTAAAATCAGAGGGAAGACCTACGCGTTAAAAATGGTGAGCGGCACCCGGAGCATCCTCCGTGCCTGCAACCCTGGCCAGCAACCAACTAATACCCAACTTCTGATACAGTTCATGTTCTGCGAGACCGATTACTTGAGAGACGATCTGGCGGGTCATCTTGTTTGGGACCTCTCTTCGCCAGGCTTCTATGCCGATTACTTCGACCCATTCAACTGCGAGTGCCGCGCGTACGGCCGGCTGAAGGAGGAGAACCAAGAACACCTCGCTGTCCGGTCTCACGGCTACCTGCTTCTCACACACGCCCAGGAACTCGAGATCACCAGATTTATTACCGGGACCGAGGATGACCGGGACGATCTTCGGGAACGCACCGAAAAGGACTGTAACCTCCCGGTTCGCGCAATCGTTAAGGATCTGGTTAAGGGTGGACACCCTTTCGCTGCGGAGCAGATCTCACAGATGTGGGCGGATCTGAAAGCGCTCCACGAGTTAGGGATTATGGTTCGGGACACCAACGTTTTCAATTATCTCAACGGAAAGATCATCGACTTCAGCAGATCTTGGTCGACGCCCCATCCCGGCTACGCAGCCATCGACCGGTACGATCTAAGGGAGGAGAGAAGTGGAGAGCCGCACGGCTTGAGCAAGGCGGTAATCGAATGGGGTATTGGGAGCCATTGGGTTTGGGACCAAGTTGTGATTCCCGATGAGTTGGTCAAGTGCGCCTCCGGCCGGGGCCCAAACAAGTATGGGCCAGATCCTAGGGTCTATAACTGGCTTAAATTGGAGAAGGACCCTTTGGTTGCATCTGAATTCATGGAAAAGCATGTGTTCGCGGGGTATGGAAATAATGGAAATTGAACTAGGAGGGGAAACAATCCGTTTCTATTGCTACATGTACTTTGGCAATGCGTGGCTAGGTACCTATAGTAGAGCGGGACTGAAACCTGTACGTTCCTTAGGTAGGTAATTTATTTTTCTTCAGTAATGTCCTTTGCTCAGGTTGGGCAGTTTACTTTCTTCTACTTCCCTTCAATATCGTTTTCGTTTATTCAACCTGCTCCATCCAATTTCCGGGTATTTGTTTACAAGGCACAGAGTCTTCAATCCCTTTTTTGACCAGACCTTGCCCGACCCGGAATAATAAGCTAGATAAGGGCCCAGACGAAAAAGAAACGCATCCCCATTTTTAAAGCTACCACTTTCATGTAAACAAATCCCCGGGCCCAAGATTCGACTTTAAGGGACCGACTGTACCATTGAAGGTGCCAGGGGGAGCGGGGTCTTCCGCTCACTAATTAATTTCGTTGGTAGACAATTCTTGGCGCTGCCACCTTTCCACTCCAATCTACACTCACTTGAACTTCACAACTCACATTGCGCGATGCTGGAGCTGGCCTCAATTCAGTTTCTCGCACGACATTCGCTCCACGAGGATTAAGCCTCGCCCCATTTTATCAATGCGTTCCTCCCGGACAATACATTGATCCTCAATTCTCTCAACCTCCTCAATCCCCCGTCCAGATTCATCCCAATGGCCCTTCTACATCAACACCTCGGGCGCCAGCTCCGGCCACGGTCACGCCTCACAAGCCAACGGATCAGAAACGCCGCCGTGGCATTGGCACTCTGCCTGACCGTCCTCTACTTCCTCACCCGGCCCGCGCCTCCAGACGAAGTAGCCCTCCTCGAGCAGCACATGAACGCGGGACCGCCGATGTACCCCATCAACGTTGTCAAGAGCACCATCGACTGGGGCCGCATCGCGCCGCGCCACCCGCCGCGGGAACGCCCCGTGCAGCTGCCGAGACACGCGCCCGGGCGGGGCCCCCGGCGGCCGCGGATCCAGCACCGCTTCGGCAAGGAGACGGCCGAGGAGCGGCAGACGCGCGAGGCCCGCCGCGAGGCCGTGCGCGACCTCACCCGCAAGTGCTGGGATAGCTACCGCCGCTATGCCTGGAAGCAGGACGCGCTGCTGCCGCTGTCCAAGGCCGGCCGGGACCAGTTCTCGGGCTGGGCCGCCACGCTGGTGGATTCGCTCGACACGCTGTGGATGATGGGGCTGAGGGACGAGTTCGACGAGGCCGTGGCCGCCGTGGCCGAGATTGACTTTGGCAACTCGTCTACTCCGCAGGTCAACATCTTCGAGACCAACATCCGCTACCTCGGCGGGTTGATGGCCGCCTACGACCTCTCCGGCCGCGCGGTGCTGCTGGAGAAGGCGGTCGAGCTAGGCGATCTGATCTACGCCGGGTTCGACACGGAGAACCGGATGCCCGTTGATAACATCAACGTCGCGGCCGCCGCCGAGGGGGTGGGCCTGTGGGTCGAGAACGCCGTGGTGTCGGCGTCGCCGGGGACGCTGACGCTGGAGATGACGCGGCTGAGCCAGATCACGGGCGACCCCAAGTACTACGACGCCATCACGGGCATCGTGGACCTCTTCTTCCGCGGGCAGAACCAGACGGCACTCCCAGGACTCTTCCCCATGTTCGTGTCCATGTCCCGCCAGGACGTCACCACCGGCGCCACCTTCACCCTCGGCGGCTGCGCCGACTCCCTATACGAGTACTTCCCCAAACTGCACGCGCTCCTCGGCGGCGTCGGCGGCCCGCAGCTCCCCTTCCTCACGCGCGGCTTCATGGACGCGGCCAAGCGGCACCTGTTCTTCCGGCCCATGCTGCCACCCACCGACACGCCCACGCCCGACATCCTCCTCCCGGGCAACGTCAACGTCGACGCCGACCTGATCGCCCACCTGGACCCCGAAACCGAGCACCTTGCCTGCTTCATCGGCGGCACCTTCGCCCTCGCCGGCCGGCTCTTCGCCACCGAAGACGACGTCGCCGTCGGCGCCCGCCTCACCCGCGGCTGCGTCTACGCCTACCGCGCCTTCCCCACCGGCCTGATGCCCGAGCGCCTCAACACGGTGCCCTGCCCCCCCCGCCACCACTAAAGACAAACCGAAAGACCCAAACCCGCCCTGCGCCTGGGACGAAGCGCGCTGGACCGCCGAAACATCCCGCCGACCCGAGTACAAGCCGCACCTGCCGCGGGGGTTCACGACGGCCAAGGACCCGCGGTACATTCTGCGGCCGGAGGCGATCGAGAGTGTGTTTTATCTGTGGCGGATCACCGGCGGGGCGGAGTGGCGCGAGGCGGCGTGGGATATGTTTCGCGCGGTGGCGCGGGCGACGGCGACCGAGACGGGGAGCGCGGCGGTGTTGGATGTCACGGTGGATGTGGAAAGGGGGGGGACGGTGCCGTTGGAGGATTATATGGAGGTGAGTGGGCCTTTTTTTTTCTTTTTTCTTTTTTTTTCTTCTTGGTTGGCTGGTCTGGTCTTGTCTTGTTTTGTGTGGACGAGTGAGTGGGCGGTAGGGTGTTAACCTGGCACACTGAACTAACTGGACTGCACAGAGTTTTTGGATTGCGGAGACGCTCAAGTACTTCTATCTCATCTTCTCGCCGCCAGATCTGATCAGCCTCGACAAGTATGTGCTCAACACCGAAGCACATCCGTTCTTGCTGCCATAACCATAGCCATGACGGGTTAGCCAGTTGGGATGGGGGATGAGTGTGTTCTGCACGACAACCTAACAACCTGACAACTTGTGGGGAACTTGTGAGATATCTGTACCAGCATATGTTTCATAATAAGCCATGTCTGGGCCTTGAGGGTTGAGCAGCAGTGTCAAGATTATCTGCATTCCACGTTTGGATCGGTTCTTTTTGGTCACAATACAAAGATACCCACGACTATTTCCCAAATTATCGCTTCCCAAAATGCTCTCCAAACACGCTCTCTCCAGACCAAGGCGCGGGCGCAAAAAGTGATATTGGTATTAATCATCAACAATCCAGCCCGTACCCTTGGTTTACCCTGACGCCAGAAACAATGCAATGCACCCCCCTCAACCTAAACATTCACATTCAACACACCCCCCTACCACTACCTCCGCCCACCACGCCCACCACTCGGTCCACCCATTCCGCCCATTCCACCCATCCCACCCAGCATATCGCTCATTTGCTTCATCATAGATTTCATATCCCCGCCCCCCATCCCCGGTGCACCACCACCTCCACCCCCAAACATATTCATGAGGGCGCCCATATCCGGCATGCCGCCGCCGCCGCCGCGACCCGCCGCGCCACCCATGCTCTGCAACCGCTTCTGCATGGCCGCAAGCTGCTGGGCCTTGTTCCCGCCGGCCATGGCGCTCTGTGCGCGCTGCATATTCTTGATGTTGCCGCCCATCTTCTTGGCCATGCCGGCCATCATGCGCTGCTGGGTGAGCAGGTCCTCGACCTCGCGGACGGTGGTGCCCGAGCCCCGAGCGACGCGCGTCATGCGCGTGGGCTGCTCCGTGAACAGCTTGCCGTCGCTGTCCAGCTCCTTGTCCGTCATGCTGTCGCAGATGTAGATCATGCGCTTGAGCTTGAGGGACCCCTCGTCGTCGTCCATCCCCTGCAGCATGTTGCCCATGCCCGGGATCATGCTGGCCATCTTGGAGAGCGGGCCCATCTTCATGATGTTCTGGAGCTGGTCGCGCAGGTCGCGCACCGTGAAGACGCCCTCGCTGATGTGCTTGATGGTTTCTTTTTGGTCCAGCTTCAGGCTCTGTACGTGCTCCACCAGCCCGGCCATGTCACCCATGCCGAGCAGCTTGCTGATGAAGCTGCGCGGCACGAACCGCTCAAAGTCGAACATGTGCTCGCCCGTGCCGATGAAGACGATGGGGGTATGGGTTGCCGCGACCGCCGAGATGGCACCACCGCCCGCCGCGTGGCCGTCCGTCTTGGTGATGATGATGGCGCCGAAGTCGGCGGCCTCCTTGAAGGCCTTTGCCTGGGCTTCGGCCTGCTGACCTATCGAGGCGTCCAGCACCATGATGGTCTCGTCCGGCTTGATGGCCGTCTGGATATCCGTCATCTCCTGGAAGAGCGCGCTTTCCTGTCTGTGGCGACCCGACGTGTCGACGATGATGATCTCGAACCGCTCCTTCTTGAACTTCTCGACACCCTCCCGGGCCACCACGGTGGGGTCCGTTTCCGTCAGGCTGCCGTAGTACGGGATCTTGGCCTTGGTTGCGTTCTGTTTCAGTTGGTCAAAGGCACCGGCACGGAAAGTGTCGGCGCACACGAGACAGGCGCGGAAGCCACGCGACTGGTAGTGCCTGGCGAGCTTGGTACATGTCGTGGTCTTTCCGGCGCCCTGCAGACCGACGAACATAATGACGTTGGACTTGCCCTTCTTGGGTTTGAAGGGCTCGGCGTGCGGGTCGACGAGGCTGACGAGTTCGTCATAGACGGCTTTCTGGATGAGGCGCTTCTTGTTCACGGCGGGTGGGAGGTCTTTGAAGTTGACGGTCGAGCGGATCGATTTGCGCAACTGGCCGACCAAGCGCACGTTGACATCGGCTTCGAGGAGGGCGGAGCATATTGTCTTCAGCATGGAATCGAAGGTCTGGAAGGCGTGCAAGTAAGGTTAGCAATCCTGCATCAACGGCCTTGTTGCTCTCGAGGAACCAGTTGCTAATGTTGCCACATCTAGCTAAAGGGTAAAAGATGGGAGCCTACCTTTTCATCGAGATTAGGGGCGCGCGTTAGGTCGTTGACGGCCGCATTGATGCGGCGGCCGAGATCTTGTAAAACCATGACGAAGGAATCACAGTAACGAGGCCAACAGAAGGTTGGATATGGGTGGCTTAGTGTGTGATAAATGTTGATGGTTAAAGTTGTCAATTGCCCCGTGCGAAATGGTGGGGCTTGGGAAGTGGAAGGAAGCTGGCCTTGGCAAGCCTGGGGAAAAAGAGACGGTTGACATGGGGGCAAAAGCCCACTTTTGTGAGAATGTATGAGCTAAGTAACTATAGGTAACTAGCGATAAACAATAAGGGTTAGGGCTGGGCTCGTAATTCAAGCCCACCCAACATGATGCGCAAGCGACTGTGTGTGTGTCTGTGTGTGTGTGTGTGTGTGTGTTTCCAAGGTGTGGTCGGTTTCATGATCTCATGATCTCTTTTTTTACATTCAACATTCAGTTCCTTTTCCCTCCAAACTCCGCCTCTGTTGATTCTGAGCCTCTTAGCCATTTGTTAGAGTTTCCCGCTGAACAGCCATCGACAAGTCGAATGCTTAAAGTTTAATTGTTACCACAATTTGCATTTTCCAGCGAAGCCCTTGCCTCGCGTTGTTGGTGGGAGAAATGGTTCGGCCATTCGGTTTCGGATCTGATCCGAGTCTCAGCTAGAGCGGGGACATAGCTTGGTGAGAAGCTGAGGAAATGGAAAAGGAGGTGAGGGGTTGTGGTTTGGCGGTGGTCTCATCGCTGACAGCACGTGTAATAAGTTCCAACCCTTTACTACAGTCGACACGAGACGGCAAACTGCTCAGTTCCAGGGTGGTGAGCTCTGTAATTGAGTGACAGGGGCTGTCTTGTTCTTGTCTAACCACATCAGCACTGGCCTGTCGAATTAATCATGTCTCTCTCTCCCCATTTCTGCATCTAGTTTGGGGCTCTGGGGTGTGATTCGCTGCTTTGCCGCTCGAGCTGCAGCGGGTATGCCCGTGAGTGATATTGTAACACGATAATGCACACCGTCATCAGAGCCTTGCGATGGCGGCGATCGGGTTGGTTGAGGTCCTTGTCCCTTCGGCAACTGTCTTCAGGGGTCTGGTATGGCTCCAACGGAGCAATTAATTCCCCTCTTTCTCATCTCAGCTCCTAGCCTCGTCTTGATTTCCCTCTCACCTTCTCCCCAAAAGAGGCGATTGAGTATCGCAGCATTCACCCACTATCGAGGCTCAACTTTACCATTTTGCTCGCCATGGATACATCTGTTTCAGACACGGAGCTCGATTGTCACGGATATGCCAACAGGTGGAACCGAGAAAGGAGCGGAGGAAGCTGCGTCACGGTGACTTCTTGCATAAAGCCATGTTCTGGTCCGGAATCAACGTCATCCTCCTCCGGTTGCCGTCCTTGATCAACCAATGCCTCGACCAAGTTCGCAAGCATCTCCGCCACGATCTTGAGGAAAGTGCGCGGGTTCCTGCGTCGCCCTCGTTTCCTTTCCGGTTGGCATTCAAGGACTTCGAGACTATGTATAACAGATACGAGGAAGAGCCACCATGGTCTCGCCGAATACTGAACTCCGCATTCCGTGTCGTCCCGAAATATCACATGGATCGGTGGAGGCCCCCTTGGGACGAGCAAGGCAATCAGGACCCGATGGAATTTTTGGCCAGGAGCGACCGCATGGCCATGGAGCTCACGCAGCGGAGGCAAAGGTACCAGCAACTCGAAGAGATCCCTCTCGCTCCTGCCAGGGATAAGGACTCGGCCGATGCTGCAGCACCCAAAGAACTACGGCTAGCGTCACGGCCCGGAGTATGGGTGACGAGCGATATTCTCGACCTCGTCAAACACCTCCTTCGGTACGGTGTACGCTGCGTCGGCTACCAGGATGCCGTGACTGACATGGCAGAGGGGGTTGCTCCGGAGCACAGAAAGCAGGTCGAGGACTTGACGTTTGAGTTGTTCTCGGTAGTCATTCGGCTCACTCTGATGTTGGGCGCCCGCGCCGACAATATGGAGAGCCTCGCTGATTTTGTTCGGCTGCTCACCACAGTTCGACTTGAGCGGGTCAGGCGGCTCGATGTTATGTGCGAACAGGCCTTTACTCCAAGAAGTCACGGAACGTGTGCATGTAACCATGCACCTAGCAAGAACGACTCCGGGCCGAAGGCCGGGGAGATAGCCGCGGCGGTGGCCCGGCAGGTTGAACAAACAATCGAGGACAAGCTTGGGGTTTCCCAGACCGGCATGGTCCGCGAGATTCAGGGTCACGTCTCGAGCGTGGTCAAAGAGGAGGTCTCCCGCCTGGTGGAACAAATGCAAAAGAATCTCGAAAGAAGATGTACCAAGAAGTACAGCGCCGGGTTACTCTGGTCACCTGGGAATGGCGGCCCGTAGTTCAGGCAGGCTGTATGGTACCAGACCGAACTTGTTTATAATCACTTCTATCTACATGTCTATTTCCCTCGAGTCCAGTCCACTGCGCCGGCACCATCAACCTATTCACATCCGATCGGCAACACGGAAACGGTATGGGGTGTCTAATTATCTTTAGCCAGGTTGGCGGGTCCATAAGAGGTCAACGTAATCACCGGGGATTGACTTATGGGTTCCGGCTCTTGATTTAAGGGCGAAGAGGGCCGCTGTACAAAAGGTCACAACCGTAAAAACAAGCATTAACGTATCATGTTCCCGTTAGACTCGTATCACACCTTCGGGTTCCATTTTAGGACGGAGGGGACGAAGCCAATGTAACCAAGAGGTGGGCGATGATTTCGGGGCCTAACCATTGTTGTCCGGGAGAGTCCTGACGTATGTTTACAACGGCATGGAGATCTCTCGAGAAATGACGGAGAAATGTACGTTAATATAACCATCGGCTTGGTCCGCAGCCAATAGGCATGTCTCTGCACGCGCCCCGCGGTTCATGGAAGTTGGAGAAGCTTCGCAAGAGGGAACTGCCGTGGTCCCTTACAAGCTTTCGGGAGCTAATCTGCCGAATAGGCTATCATGGGCGATATTGGGGATTTCAACCTGCCAAGGTGGTTGGCCAAGACCCATGGCAGCATCAAAAAGGACCCAAGCTTTACCACGCGGTAGAGTAACAACAATGTTCACGTGGAAATTGGGATGCAGGGAGGTTGCCGATAGCACTCCAGGGGCATTCGAACATCGCCCATGGAATTGTACAACTATAGAAGTAGTAGAAGCCAAGAAAAAACATGGACTCTGCCCCTGGAGAGTCTCCCGTCTCCTGATTTAGACCAGTAGAAATTACATACATCTTGCTCGCAGTAACAGCACCTCCAGCAAAAAGGTAGAAGATCAACAATGCGTCTATTCGAGACCGCCGTCGCCGTAGCGGCTCTGTTCGCTGCAGGTCAGTCCAATTTACGCTCGACTACGAGCTCGTCTCTATCGTGGCCAAGGGGAGGTCAGGCTAATGAGAACTAAACGACAGGTACCGATGCCCAGATCCCAAAGCTCCCGCTGCCAAAGTCCTGTAGCGGCGTTAGCAACTTCCGGTACCAGTACACAGTAGCGTCAGGATGGTCTGCCATGAAGCTTGCCGGTGGGCTGAAGCAGGTCCGGACGGTCATCTGGGATCCAGCGGGCAACCTCCTAGTAGCTCAGGCGACCAAGGGCATCTCCGTGCACACCTTTGGCGCCGATGGCTGCCTCAACAGCACCAACATGCTGATATCGGGTGGCCAGCTCAATCACGGACTCGCCCTATCGCCCGACGGCAAGAAGCTGTATGCCAGCGGTGAGACGGCGGCGTACAGCTGGGACTACAACGTAGCTACCCGTACCGTCAGCAACCAGAAGACGGTCATCAAGGGCATCTCCTCGGGCATCCACTTCACACGGACGCTCGCCGTGGTGCCCCAGCAACCCAACCTGCTCCTCGTGCAAGTCGGCAGCAACGCCAACCTCGACATGGCCGCAGCGCAGAAGGAAACAGGGCGGGCCATCATCAAGATCTTTGACACGGACAAGGCGCCTACCAGCGGCTTCAACTACAACACAGACGGTGAGGTGTATGGCTACGGACTGCGCAACACCATCGGCTTCACGGCCGATCCGAGCGGTGTGTTCTGGGGCGTCGAGAACAGCGGCGATGACTTTAGGCGTAGCGAAAACGGGCAGAACCGCGACATCCACCAAAACAACCCGGCCGAGGAGCTTAACAACCGTGAGTGCCGCCGTTGCAGACATGACAACGAAACAAACAAGATCCCAGGAATTGAAACTAACCCTCCCTCTTCCAGTCGGCAACCCCCTCACGACGCGCAATGTCTGGTACGGCTACCCGACCTGCTTTGCGGTGTGGGACCCGTCGAGCTTCAGCGGGCTCAAGACGGGCAGCAACTTTGTGCTATCGCCTAGCAGCTCGTTCAACGACGCGTCATGCAACGGCCAGGCGACGCCGCCGCGCCTCTCGTTCCAGGCGCACTCGGCCCCGATCTGGAACACGTTCGACACCGACGCCAAAAACATGTACGTCGCCTTCCACGGCTCGTGGGACCGCCAGCCTCGTGAGTGAAGCCTTTTTTCATATTCCCCTTCAGCTCCCACTTGAACCCAACCCCCAACAAAACCTTCACTAACACCACCCCCCCTCTCCCCCCTTCAAACAGCCACTGGCTTCAAAGTCGTGCAAATCCCCTTCCAAAAGCTCGCCGACGGCAGCTACGACCCCGTGGCGCCCGCCGACAGCCAGACAGGCTACAAGGACATCTTCAGCGCCCCCAACCCGGGCGGCTGCACGGCCAACGGCCTGACCCAGAGCAACTGCTTCCGCCTGACGGCCGCCGCGTGGGATCCGGCGGGGCGGGGCCTGTTCGTGGGCAGCGACAATAGTGCGGAGGGGGAGATCTATATCCTTTCGCCGACGGCTTGAGGGGGTGGGGGGCGGTGGCTGTTTGGGGTTGAGGGTTGGTGGTGGGCAAATACTCGTTGGAAAAGGCACGTGGACTGTGGGTGGTACATATGAGTGGATATATTGACGGCAGACTGTACTTGAAAGTCACGTAAAATATATATGCGTAGCCCCTTTTGCCGTGGTCCTTACCTACCAAGGTACCCGTCTAACACCATCTATAATTGCAGTCTTCACCTATTAGTCCGCGGATAAGCTCCCGACGATGGCCGTTTCAGCTAGGAGGCTTTTCCTACCAGCCTATAACGTCAAATGGACCTGGTTGCCATTTCAGGAGGGCTCTTTTAAGTGATGTTGTTTCCAAAAAGAAAATAGTATGGATGATGTGCCTGGCAAGCATGGATGTTAATCCACAGCGTGAATTCGGCTACGGATGGCCCGACGTCGGATTGGTGCCTAGCTGTGCAAGCGCCTCGAACGGATTTGGGTGTCCCCGCATTCTCCGGTCTAGTTTCTCCTATTCTTCCACTCCAGGCAACATCAGTGTCAGGCACCAAACACCATCAACTTGAACGTCACCCATGGCTGATACGCAACAACTCGGCGGCTTTCGAGTCATCCAAGGCAAAAACAAAAATGATGGAGCCTCCCCGCCTACCCCCCGAATTGCTTGAGATGGTCATTAACCACGTAAGCGACGGGGGTGGGCGGTGTCAAGATGCTTTGCCGCCTTTCCCTTCTTTCTCGCCAATGGTACGCCGTCGTGAGCGGTCGGATCTACTCAACATGGCTGTACGATGGCGAACAACATTCCATCTCGTCGCTGTGGAAGTTTCTCCGCACCGTGTTCGGCAACAAACGGATCGCGGATGGAGTACACGAACTCAACATTCAAGATTGGCCTCTTGGGCTCGTTCACGACCGCGGCCGTCTCACCCTCTCAGACGACGACTTCGATTTGATCTGGGACGCCATTCGCATAACGGGACTTGTGCGTCTAGAAGGCAGCATTTTGGAAGCCCTCCAAAAGGCAGACCCGAGACCACTAATGGTGTTGCTGTTGGCAAGTCTACCGAACTTGACCACGCAGGCATGGGGTTTCCATATTCCCGACACGTCAAGCTGAAACTTGGAAAATGGCTACAAACTTGAAACGTGTTAGATATACCTGGATGAAGTATATTTCCTGTCTGTATGGTCACGGGTCTACGGATGTGAATGGCAGTTTCCCGCTCGAGTACATGTACCCTAACGAAAGTTTCAAATACCTGGCCATTCGTGTCAAGGTTCGCCCTGCCAGGCCTCCCCCCCCCTCCCCCCTAACTTTCCGTCCCTGTCAGTGCTCGCTCCAGTCTGTGCGTACAAAGTAAGGAGGATTCCTTTATAATATTATTATTCATACTCCGCTATGCCCTAGGGCGTGCCGGACCCTCTGCTATTTAGTGTACAGGAAAACCGTGCCCTCCCGGGCCGGGTGAAAAACCCATACCAACAATCAAGGAGCGATGCGTTTTAGTGAGCCCACATATACAAAGAGAGGAGGCCTCCTGGCCTCCGAACGAGGGCGCTTCAGACCGCCGCTTCCAGCTCGAGCCTCCTGGCTAAGTTGTACATCGGCAGCTTCCCCGAGTCCACCAGCCAGTCGAGAACTCTCCTCGCGAGCCGTGCAGTCGTGGGATTGATGCCGTGTAGAACAGAGTAAAAGTCCCGTCGTGTCCGAATTCCAGTTCTCTCCCATCTTCGAGTCAACGGTGGGGCCAAACACCACACTACCAGGTGTTCGGCAGTCTCTCGTCCCTCGCCACACTCGCAGACAGGAGTCAGAACCTCCGGGACTCCCCGTGTAAACAAGAAGTCCCGTAAGCCTATTGCTCCCGTCCGGATTTGAATCAGCAGTGAGCTCTTCGCCTTGTTGAGACCGTCGTGCCTCCTTAGGGTTTCGTTCCGGAATAGCGTCTCCTGCTGATGGTCAAAGTCGTCCGCCGGCCTGGTGATTGCCCTGCCATCCCGTTCCTTTAACCACCTGGCTTTCCAAGCCTCTTCTACTACCCTGTTCGTATCAACGGTTCCCCCCGTCCAGCGCATGACCGTGCCCGCGGCTCTCTCCACCGCCGTAGGCCCTTGAGGTCCCAAGGTTCGCGGTCGGCCCCTGTTGCCCCTCCTCGAGCTAAGTCTCTGCTGTATCTTGCGGCAGGCGGTGAGGACAACGCTCCCCGCCGTCTTCTTGCCGCTTTGACTGTCGTCTAGGTCGGTTCGCTGGAGTCTGGTCTCAAAGTCCGCAAGCCGTTTGTTGAGATATAGGTCCAAACGGTGGCAACCCATGTCTCCGTCTCGAGGTTGCGGAATGGGGGTAGACTTAAAGGCTCCCGCCCACAATCCGCAAGCTCTTGTTCTGGGCCTTCTCCGAGGGCCTTGGTGATGCCCTTTCTTTGCCGGCTCGCTCTCCCACATCCGTGGGGATGTGAAACGATGATGCGCCATAGGCCAGCGCCCGACCGGATGCACTTTGTGTACACTTCTCGCGCTTTGGCTAGCCCCATCCCCCATGTCTTTGCCACGATCCTCGACAGGGCATAGCTCTGGGTCCTCAGCTTCTTCTCCACCGCCACCAGGTGGGCCTTCCAGTTGAGTTTCCAGTCCAACCAGACTCCCAGGAACCTGGCAGACCCTTCTGGTTTAACGGGGCTGGTGCCTCCCCTTGGGTTGGCAAGGTTTACTTGTTCGGTCCACTGCCGTCGCCCTTTGTTGAAATGGATCAGTTCGCTCTTTTCCGGGGCGAACTTCATCCCCCGACTGTCCGCCCATCGTATACACGTTTCCCACGCCGCCTCTAGTTGCCGGACATTGGCTTCGGGGTTTCGACCAAATACTAGAAGGTTGGTGTCATCCGCAAACCCTGTTATAGCCAAGTGAGGGTGCTCGTCTTTTAGCTGCTTGTATAATGAGGAAATGTAGAGGATGAAGAGAACAGGGGAAAGGGGTGAGCCTTGGGGGACCCCTGCCCGAATTGCCGTCGGCGCCGCCGTCTTGCCGTCGAAAAGAAGGGTGGCCTCTCGACCGGTCAACCAATCTCTCGTCCAGAGGACCAGCCACCTCGGGAAGCCCATTTCTCGCAAAGTTGCTAGCAGTCGGGTATGGTTGACCGTGTCAAAGGCTCCTGAGATGTCCAGTTGCAATAGGGATGCCGCACCCTTCTGTCTCCACGCCTCCTGGACCTGAGCTACTACTAGCCGGACAGCCAGCTCTGTAGAGCGGTGTGCCCTGTTCCCCATTTGTTCATCTGGTAGGAGGCCGTTGACTTCTGCCGCTTGAGTGACCTTCCTGGCGACCACTGACTCTATTACCTTCCCCAGGGTTGGCAACAGAGCAATGGGCCTGTATCCCCCCGGGGTCTGATACGCCGGGCGGAGCCTTTCCTGGTTTCGGTAGTACTACAGTCTTCGCCCTCTTGAAACGGCTCGGGAATCATCCTAGCTCTAGGCACCTTGTCGCCAGAAGGGCCAGCACTTCAGCTAACGGTGCTCCGCACGCCTTCAGAAGGCTCATCGGGAGCAAATCCTCGCCTGGCGCCTTCCAGGGGCTTGCTCTTCCCATCGCCTCCGTGATCTCGATCGGCGTCACTGCCTGTACGACGTCGAAGCCCGGGTTCCAGCTGCCCAAAAAGGCTTGGTCTTCCACGTCCGTCAGGTTGGCCGGTGGGTCCGGGAAGAACCTCTCAGCCAGCGCGCTGGCCTTCTGGTCGTGCGTTTCGGCCGTTACCTGTCCGGAAGAGTCCTTAAATTCCGGCAGCCTCGGTGGTTCTGGCGGCAAAAAGCTCCGCAACCTAGCCCATCTTTCCAAGCTCCACATCTGATCGGGCTTCTTTGCCTCGCTTGCTTCCTGTAGGCTGTTCCTCCAAGCCCTAGTCCGCGCTTCGCGCGTTGTTCTAGCAAGGTCCTTGAGTCTTTCGCTAAGCTCCTCCCAGCAGTACTCTGCCCGGGTCTCCTTCGCCAGCCTCTCGGCCCTTCTGGCCTCCCAGGCGGCCTGCTGCACCTCCACAGTCCACCAGGGGGAGCTGTAGCCGCAGCTCGCCTTCTTCCGTGGAGTGCTTTCCTTCGCGACCCAGGTGAGCCACTCGACCAGGCTATCGAAAGCTTTGTCAAGGCCCTCGACTGTCCGGGTTTTGGCCGGTAGTCCGTCCGGTCCCGGGTCCGCGAGCCCCATGACCTTGCATAGCAACTCTGATTCAGCCTTCACCCTCTCCCTGTCCATCTTTTTCCAGGCCCAGCCATCCGGTTGGGTTGGCCTCGGCCCATGCCCTTCCCCGACCTCGAGCACCTGTGGGTAGTGGTCTGACTTTCCACGACACTCTTCCCCGTAGTATACTGTTTGGAGGTTTTCCGAAGTCCAGAAGTGGTCGATTGGTTGACGGGCGGCCATTCCTTTATAAATAAAGAATGCAAGAAGCCACTTTCGTCTTCGGGCACGGCGTTGATTCTCCAAATTAGGAGAGCGCAGCACTTACTAGCCGGAGGCTCCCGTTCAAAACGGAAACCCTCCCCTCCCCCCCCCCCCCTTTTTTTTTTTTTTATTTATTCATTCTCTACAATACTTTTCTACTACACCCACGGTGAACCTGGACTGGTTTGGTTAACTGACAATTTACAATGCAAAACCATTCAATGGGCTATCCAAGTTCTGCTCTTTTTTGCTGCTACTTTTGTGGTTGTTTTCTGTCAATACAAACAAAACGGCAGAGGTGAAGGCCCTTGACCAAGACATAGTCCTGCTATTATTAAGCTAGTGTGGCGTGGCGACGCAGATCTAGACGAAGAGCGCCGTTAGGAAGAAAAATAGATGTAAAAAAAGCCGTGGTGATGCCAATGAAGATCCCAAGAACGGGTCACACAGAGATGAACAGAGGCCTTTCCTCCCAGTTGCCGTTGCGTTGCGGAACAAGCATCACCGCATGAACATGCCCGTTCGTGCGTGGTATATAACTCTCTTGGTTAGAAAGATCATGCCCAAGCCCCCACGGACTGAGGGCTCGAGGGTTTGCGTCCCTCCCCTGAGTCCCCTCCCTCTTCTCCTTCACCCTACCTCCTTATCTCCTTCACTCTCGTAGGACGATATGCGGAGGTCGTCCTTGGTTCGGCTTCACTTACCGACTCGTCCTCAACAACATCGGCGGTCGCTTAAGCATTGTTCGCCAGCCACGCAAACCCTTCCTTATAGCCCTGCCCCATCACCACCGAGCACATGAACAGCTTAACCGGCCGTGAGGCTTCTCTCCCTCGGCTCATCTCATTCCCTACACCTACAGGACTCGAAAGGCCCCCCAGCAAGTCTCTCAACTCCTCCTCCGCCACCGCACCAGGTTTATCAATTTTGTTACCCAGCACCAGCACAGGCATCCGCTTCCCAGCAGCACAGTCTCGCCCTTCTTCAATCTCACCAAGCACCCGAAGAAGCTCCTCAAACTCCCCTCTCGCCTCTTTCAGCCCATCTTCATAATCCGCAGCGTCCACGACAAAGACTACCCCATCGACGCCGCCCGCAGCAAGATAGTCGCGCCGCAACCTGGCGGATGCCACCTGGGCGGTCGCGGTCGCAGAAGCCGCCGAAGTCGGCCGCGTCGATCGCGAGACGGCGCCCGTCGCTGGTGTCAAGGTATATATCGGTTCCTGAGGTCCCCGAAGTGGACAGGGTGACAGGTGCGGTGGGATCCGGATGACGGAGGTAGTGCAGCAGCGTGGTCTTGCCGGCGTTGCTAGGGGCCGGTGAATAAGAGGCGGGGCCTTTGGCGTTGGGGATGGCCGGTTGCGGTTAAGTAGATGGTTTTGGCGAGGGACTGGAGGGTCGCAGAGTGAGTACATTGGGGACTT